ATATTTCATTCCGTCATAATCATGGGTGAAAATAACGGCGACAATTGCAGTGACGACGACGATGATAACGAGCTACGAGCATCCTGTTAATCACTTGACAATTATTTCATAATTTTAAATATTTGCTTGTTTCAAAGTTTATATATTTTCGTCATAATGTAAAAGGACCTTGAATATTGTTTAGATACAGTATACTCAGACCCGTAACGAAAAATTTATATTGGTAGATTTATTCTCCAGAGTATCGGAGATCATACAAGCCAAAGGGTCCACTTTCCACTGAAACGAACCTCCCACAAATTAAGTCACGCTACGGGCCTGCTACTGTCGTCTTGCTACACAAGCCCGAACTTTGACTGTGGAGGAAATAAATCCATCTCTTGTGATAACGATAACGTGGGCCAGTCGTTCTTCGTTGTTACACATGCAATCATTAAGGAAGAAGCAGGATTCATCGGGGTTACACACGTCTTCTTCTATTTTTTGTATGATATGTCCCTTAAAAGAATAGTAATAAAATATCAACATAATTGGATGTTGCACTTAATAGTTGGGTTATTTTCTCAATTTGTCATCAATTCAATTCAATTCAATTTTTTTTTTATTACAAATGTAAATGCATCATTTGACTAAAATAAAAAAGTAAATATTAAAAATTGCACACGCATTAAAAAATGATTATATAAAAATAATATAGAATATATTTTAAAAATTCAAATTCAGAATAAAAAATTACAAAAATTATGTTGCATAGATCAAGAAATTCATATATAAAAAAAGACAAAAAAAAGGAACATTGAAGTTCAGAAATATAATTACAAAAAAAACAAAAAACTCATGTACCGCCAATGACCATTGAAAGTTTTTACCTGAGCAATAATAGCGACAGGTTCTTTAATGTAACTAGCTTTAAAACCAGTAGAATATGCCACATAGAGATGTTCGCTAGAGCACACTCTCAACTTGCCGTGGGGTGCATTGCGTTTTCGTCTCTCCAAAGTGCCATCATTCGGTGTGTCTATTGTACTATTAAGATATTCATCACTGTTTGGTAGAAGAAAAAAACTGCCGGTAGGTTCAATAAATAGCCATGTTATAGAAGAAATGAAACGATATTTTTCTATTCGCTTTGGACCAGCAAGTGTTTTTATGGTATTTGTATAATATTCATCAGTTAAGCCTGTTTTCCACTAGGCGAATTTATTCGCCCGAATCAAATCTTTGGTACCGTACGCTTTCTGAGCTCTGATTGCATGCGCATTTTTTCGCTTCGCAAAAAACCCGATAGAAATGTGAATGCGCATGTGCATGAACGACGCACGAATAAATTCGCCTAATGGAAAACCGGCTTTTTATTCGCACGAATCGAAAGCCTCGGTTCATGAGCACATCACTATCGAAGTTTTTGCTTTGATTCGCGCGAATAAATTCGTCTAGTGGAAAACCAGCTTTAAACCGAAATGTTTCTACTTTTTGAGAAGCGAAAAATATGCGCAACCAATCAGAGCTCAGGAAGCGAACCGACGCTTTAAATTCGCGCGAATAAATTCGCCTAGTGGAAAACCGGCTTTACGCAGTGAATTCCTTAGGATTTATTTAGTGTTCAGTTTTATTAATCTTATATTTTTCATTTATTTAGTATGAAAACCTAACATTATAACACTCAGCAGTCTGATGAAGTCAGTTAGGAAGAAGACGAAATATTCATTAAAATGCGTTAGGCCTATGTTTGATCGTTCTCCGTCTCCGACACACACTATTCTTTATAACACGTGGGACATATGTGGCTATGAATACAAGGATACGAGGAATATTATACGTATGTCAAGAAATAACATTCCGTATTTTTTTCCCTCTTATACAATACCTTTTTAATGATAATCTAGAGATTGTAAAGACACAAAAACCCACAAAAAAAAAAAAAAAAAA